GTTAAGAATCTTGCTCAAAATGCCATTTTCTGAAGGGCTTTGTACAAAAATGGAATAAATTACATGTGTGATTTTAATAACATTTGATTAACCTATGGAAAGTGTCTTGTCGCTGTCATTTGTAGTTACTTATGACAATTAATATCAATTTTAAAGTTGGTGAAATATCAATTTTGGCCCAAAAATGGCATTTCGTGGCAGGTTTTTGACAAAATTTTTACAACTTCAAAAGATCATATCTTGAGAACTAAAAGTCCAATCGACATGATTTTTTAAATAGTTTTTATCTTTTGAAGAGATCTTTCAAACGATACCAATTTTGAGCACCTCCTATTTATACGAAATGTTCGTGTGTTATGAATATCAGTGTCTGTGATATGGTGTTAACAAAAAAGCGCTTCAAAATGATCAAGAAGTGCCTCAAAAAAGTAAAAACCTTTGAGTGACCGGTTTTACCATACTCGTTTTCCCCAATATGCTGCAGTGTTATGAAAACCGTTTGGCAAACGCAAAAAGTTTGATTTCGAATGTCAATCATAAATACCTTGATAATCAGACAGGCGATCGGCTTGTAAAAGTCATTGGGTTCCTGACCGACCTGAACGTTTTTAATTATCATTGCAGCATGATCTAAATCAAGGATTTGTTTAAAGGATTTAAGACAAAGTCACCGGATCCCTTTAAAGTGAATGGTTCTAAGCTGTGGAACGATACACCATCTTACTTGAAAAATTCACCTCCTTTGAACACTTTCACAAAACGTTACAAAACGTATCCGGACTCCTACCCCCTGGACATCCACCCCCGGGTAACCACCCCTAGTCAACTACCCTCTAGGACATCAACCCCTTGGGACAACTACCCCCTAGGGCAACCACCCTCTAGGAAGAATATCCCCCACGTCAACTACCCGGACAACTACCCCCAGACAACTATTCCCTAGGACAACTCCCCCGGACAACTCCCCCGGACAACTACCCCCTAGGACAACTACCCTCGGACAACTACTCCCGGACAACCACCCCAAGACAACTACCCCTAGGAAGACAACTGTCCCGGGGGTAGTTGTCCTAGAGGATGGTTGTCGTATGGGGTAGTTGTCTGGGGATAGTTGTCCGGGAGTAGTTGTCCGGGGGTAGTTGTCCTAGGGGTAGTTGTCCAGGAGGTAGTTGTCCGGGGGCAGTTGTCTGGGGTAGTTGTCCGGGGGGGGGGGGGTAGTTGTCCTAGAGGATGGTTGCCCTAGGGGGGAGTTGTCTTAGGGGTATAGTCGGCCTAGGGGGTAGTTGACTGGGGGTGGTTTTCTGGGGGTGGATGTCCAGGGGGTAGGTGTCCTAGAAACCTTCACTACATCAGGGTATGCGTACATGTAAGTGTCCGTGTTGGGTTCGTGCGGGTTTTGGCAAGTAAATATCTTGTAATTATCTCTCGCTTGTTATCTTGGAGCCACAGCCTTTTCTCAGATCTCCTTTGTCTTCTTTTTTTCCCACTAATTATTTTGACCTACACTCCTCTCCAATATCTTTCTCCATATCTCTCTCTCTCTCTCCCCCCCCCCCCCCCCCCCATGAGGGCAATTATGTGTCCAACCAACTATTGGGTAATTTAAAGATTTTGCATTATTTACCCAGTGTTGGATCAAAAGAAAATACCCCATTTTTAACCGACAACAAATTTACCCAATCAGAAATTCACCCAATTATCACCATAATGTGTAGCATTTTAGTTGGGCAATTATTTCATCGGTAACTACATGGTTGGTGAAAATAACCTAATTGTTGGAAAAATGTCCCAGCTTTAATTTTCTCAACAACATTACCCAATTATTTCATCGATAACTACACGGTTGGTAGAAAATAACCCAATCGTTGGACAACATTTGCCCAACATCGATTGCCAATTGACACCTACGCAACCTATGTTTTACCTTTCATTAGGTAACTTCATATAGTATTGGTTGGGTCACCCAATTATTGAAAATTTGCCCAACTTTGATTTGCCCAGTGACATCTGGCCAACTTTTGGTACAGTGTGTTCTGTTTACCTTATCAACTCTCCCCTCTTTTCTCTCTGTCCCCACTGCTTCTGTACTTATTCAACCCACCTTCCGTATTTTCTTATCTTATGCTCCAAATTTGATTGTGTTCTTCTTTTTATTTATTTTTACATTGGCTACCTTGTTCACAGGCCTCTAGGTCTGTTTAGGTGTGCCTCCCAATCCATTTCTGTTGTAGAACAAATAAGTTCAATTACCCCTAATATTCATTTTACACATATTTTGTATGTATTTCTCTATTGTTTTGAGCAATATTGATATATATATATTTTTGTACATGTTAAATTCATAATATGTTTTTTTGATCATGGTTTGGTGAAATCCAGACGAAATGAAATGAAATGAAGTTACAGCATCAGTATTGTCTCATATTTCAATGCTAAAAGGCTTACCCATGCACACACACCCGACAAACAGACTTACATACATGCATCCCTACACACACACGCATACACGCACACATACACATACACACATGCATACATGCATCCGTAATTGTGACCTATAATTTTTACAGAGCCTCTCATGAAAACCTTTTTAATAATGAGAGAGTTGCCCTGTTTAGATAGAAAGAATTGATATAAATAAAATATAAACATTTCTTACATACATCCTTATCTAGATAATTTAAAATTATTTTTTATTCATAACTTCATTCGTTTATTTGCAGATGGGATTAGTTCTACATTGTATTTTAGCGCTTTTCAACCTACACGTTGTTCTCTATGCACACGGAAATGCATGCATTGGTAAGACCCTCTTCATAAAATTAGGTAGCGTAAGTCCAGGGACTGATGGTGGGGTGGAATAGAAGACGGATAAATTACCCCCCCCCCTCTCTCTCTCCCCCCCCCCCCAAAAAAAAAAAACCCCATCTACCATTCTTTTGAGGTTGTAAAGCAAAGGCATTATTCCTTTATTTCACTTGAAGTTTTCTAGATATACATATCCTCATGCACGTAAATGACTTTTTAACAATTCTCATTGCGTATGTAGTATACCGCCAATTTACTAATAAAATGCCATAATTAGCAAAATGTTATTGCTTGGTAATATATTATTTATTCGGGATGCTACTTACATAAAATCATTCTAGTTCGTGACACGATTGATATTCTATTTTGATAAAAACGAGCTTTTGTTTTATGATTCTCCAGGATTGTCGGCCTATAGGGCCTAACATAAAAAGATGTTGTATTGCCCTTTAGGTGCCAAAACATGTGTCTGTCGGATGGAAATCTTTCCTTTTTTTTTCTCTCCCTCTTTGGGCTGATATTTCTCAGTTTTTAATGCTTTAATACATTGTTTTTCTAAAAAGCGGTAAAAATTTTAATATATATATATATATATATATATTTAAAATCCGACGGTAGATTTCAAGATTTTGGGGTCGATCACAAAGGGCTGAACACAACATCTTTTTTAAATGGCCTAATGTCGACCCTCGCTATCTCCATTTAATTGCTGTTTACCTATTTCATCGAAGAAAACACGTTTCTACTTTATACGACTTCGACACGTTCCTAATTTATTCAGAAAATCAAGACCATTTACAACTGTTGCTGTAAATGTTTGGCTTAAAATAAGCTTATAAAATGTAAATCCAACAATTTGTTGGTTAAAACCCATTTTGATTTGAGGATCGTGGACTTAATTTTGAGGTAAATACGTGCTCAATTAGACTTAGATTAAGCTTAACACCACGATCGTTTAGGTTATTTTTAATGTTTTCTCTTTTAATATTTGTTAGTGTATAGAATATAAATTTATTATAACCATAACCTTTCAATGACAATGATTATTTCCTTCTTTTTATTTAGTGACTGTCGTTGTTTGTGAGCGTTATTCGGGAGAGATAACCTGCGATGATGGGGCCATCAACATCTGTACGGCTGTCTACGGACGAACTCATCCCACTACATGCGCTCACAGTAGCAAGACAGACTGTATTTTGGACGTTTCCAGTTTTTACATAGAATCCTGCAATGGTCAGACGCAGTGTAGCGTTGAAGCTTCTAATTCATTTGGAGACCCGTGTTCAGGACATGAGAAATATCTTGAAATCACGTATTCATGTGAAGGTAATGACTGTATGGTCCTCCACAACGCCATTCACAAAAACATTTGTCATCATGCGAAATTTACTGTTCAAAACCTCAGAATGTTGGTGGTGGTGGTGATGATGATGACGATAGTGCATGAATTTGGCAAAGGGCATGGATATTGAAGTAACACGGAAATTATGGGGGGGGGCACTGGTCTCACTTGCTTGATAAAATACCAGATAGAAAGGGTATTGTTTAGGGGGAGGTTGTGGGGAGGTTTTATCATCTTCTCTTCACGCTCCCTTCCCCCTTTTCTTCAATTCTCATTTTCGTCCTTTCTGAATATATATTTTTTCACCATTCAGAGGGGGGGGGGGGGGGCTTTCGTGCCTCTGTGTCTTTACCATTGCACACATCTCATTCACAAGTGATTCACAAGACGTCTCAAAATTATTATGGTATATGACTCCCTGGCTCTAAAACAACTGACGTAATAAACACTTAAGTTATTCAATTCATTTCATTCTTCCAGATATAAATTTATTGAGCTGAGTTGAGGGTGGCAAATGTGCACGTGTATTATTACAACATATTATTCAGTACCAGAACAAAATCAAAACCATCACATTCCTGAATGAATTAGAAAGGCAGCCCAGCATGCCGATGAATAACTGCAACTTTAACCTTTCCAAGTGTCTTCGAACAGGGGAAGAAAAAAAAAAGGGGGGGGGGGGGGGCTTAATTTGCTTAATATTACGGTGTACTAAAAAAGTTCAGAAAAAAAAGAAAATTTACTTTTGCCTTTTTGGTATTAAAGAAAAAAAACCTAGCTAAAAATTGTGGTTTAAAATTAAGTTCAAACAATGTTTCACTGTTTTAAATATCTCACATATTACATTTAGGAGATTGTTGCCCTACGACATTGACAACAACTCAGCCTTCAACCACAACACAGCAACAAACGACAACACAGCCTTCAACGACGACACAACAAAAAACGACAACGCAGCCTTTAACCACAACACAGCAACAAACGACAACACAGCCTTCAACGACGACACAACAACAAACGACAACACAGCCTTTAACCACAACACAGCAACAAACGACAACACATCCTTCAACGACGACACAACAACAAACGACAACGCAGCCTTCAACAACGACACAACAACAAACGACAACGCAGCCTTCAACCACAACACAGCAACAAACGACAACGCAGCCTTCAACCACAACACAGCAACAACCGACAACACAGCCTTCAACGACGACACAACAACAAACGACAACGCAGCCTTCAACCACAACACAGCAACAAACGACAGCGCAGCCTTCAACCACAACACAGCAACAAACGACAGCACAGCCTTTAACGACGACACAACAACAAACGACAACGCTGCCTTCAACCACAACACAGCAACAACCGACAACACAGCCTTCAACGACGACACAACAACAAACGACAACACAGCCTTTAACCACGACACAGCAACAAACGACAACACATCCTTCAACGACGACACAACAACAAACGACAACACAGCCTTTAACCACAACACAGCAACAAACGACAACACATCCTTCAACGACGACAACGCAGCCTTCAACAACGACACGACAACAAACGACAACGCAGCCTTCAACCACAACACAGCAACAACCGACAACACAGCCTTTAACCACAACACAGCAACAAACGACAACACAGCCTTCAACGACGACACAACAGCAAACGACAACACAGCCTTCAACAACGACACGACGACAAACAACAACGCAGCCTTTAACCACAACACAGCAACAAACGACAACACAGCCTTCAATGACGACACAACAAAAAACGACAAGGCAGCCTTCAACAACGACACAACAACAAACGACATCACCGCCCTCAACAACAACACGGCGACAAACGACAATGCAGCCATCAACAACACCACAACAACAAACGACAACATCGCTCTCTTCAACACCACAACGACAAACGACAACACTGCCATTAACAACACCACAACATCAAACTACGTCACCGCCCTCCACAGCAACACAACAACAAACGACATCACCGCCCTCAACAACAACACAACATCAAACGACAACACCACTCTCAACAACACCACAACGACAAACGACAACACTGCCATTAACAACACCACAACAACGAACGACAACCCAGCCATTAACAAAACCAAAACAACAAACTACTGCGCAGCCCTCAACAACACCACAACAACAAACGAAAACGCGGCATACAACAACTACACAACATCAAACTACATCGCCGACGTCAACAACGACACTACAAAAAATGACAACACAGCCCTCAACAACACCACGACAACAAACGACAACACAGCCATTAACAACACCACAACATCAAACTACGTTGCCGCCGTCAACAACGACACTACAAAAAATGACAACACAACCCTCGACAACACCACTAAAACAAACGAAAACGCAGCATTCAAGAACGACACAACAACAAACTACTGCGCAGCCCTCAACAACACTACAACAACAAACGAAAACGCAGCATTCAACAGCAACACAACAACAAACGACAACAGAGCCCTCAACAACACTACGACAGCAAACGTCAACGCAGCCTCCAACAACAAAAACGAAAACTCAAAAAGGGACAACACAGCCCTCAACAACACCACAAAGGCAAACTAAGTCGCCGCTCTCAACATCAACAAAACAACGTATTTCAACGCAGCCATCAGCATCGTCAAAACAACAAACAACAACACAGGCCTCAACAACTTTGCTATCAAGACGTAAGTTGGCAGTCAATAGGCCCTCTGTACTTAGCCCACTTTAAACAAATAAGCCTTATAATCTGTAAATCTGTCCCCCAAATTTTACTATCTCATATAATTTGACATCTTTGATATACCGTAGAATTCACTGTCAGCCTTTCTTAAGGGGCGGCTTAAGCCCTCCCCCCCCCCCCCCCCCCCTCCCCAGAGCTCCCTGAAATGAAAGAACTCAGAGTCCGGTCGATTTCATTTCTTTATTACCGAGAGTGTATTTTAACTTGTGATGTCTCTTTATGTAAGAAATATATTGAAACTCATATTTCAGATATAGTAGTGACAAAATCGTCTTTGTGTGATCGAAATCGATTCAGAGACAGCTGAAATATTCATAAATATAATGATTTCTAATATTTGTGTACCACCACAAGTATTCGATAATTTGAAAAAGCCGTTGAAAAAACGAAATACTGCCCTTTACATCGTATTTCAGCCAATGCCGATGTTGGCTTTTTTGGTGGCATTTTCATGTTGGTTATATTACGCACAACCAGCCGGTCCATGTATTGTTATTTTTAATTAATTAATTAATTAATGGTCACCATATTTTTTTAAAAGTGGAACTGAATTGGTATGATCCTATTGGCTGAATTTCACACATTATGGGGTCTAATATTACCTTCATAGCAATTTTAGGTTCTAAAAGGGCACTAGAAATGTCATAGATAAGAATAAGAGCAATAACCATGCACTTTGAAGGCATTTGCGGTCTGAAAACAAAACTCAACTATCCCTTTAAGACAAGGAAAATATTTTGTTTTGTTGATTGGTTTATTATGAGAAGAGTCTGACACTCCTTCCCGATAGAAAGCGATATGCAGATAAACTTGCAAATACGAAATAATCCTAAGCACTACTTTTATAATACTACATACGGAAGAATTTAATTGGTTTTAATGCATGTTTAACTTCTTTACTACAGGAAACAAGCCATCTATAAAATACCGACTGCTTGCCAGCAATGCCGCCCTCAACGATTCGTACTCGTTCAACAGTGTGACGTCCTTCATCACGTGCAGTCAAATGTGCTTTGATGACGTCTCATGCAGGAGTTTCACATACATTGGAGAGACGGGGGTGTGCTTGCTGGGCCAACAATCAGCCCTTGAAGTACACCAGGGAGCTAAAACTTATACAAGCTAGGTTAACTTTAGCTTTAGTGGTTGGTCATGTGGTAGATACGAACATATAATTTATATGCGGTAATGAGAACCTGTAAAATATCGTAATTTTCTAATAACAAAGGGCTGAGGGCAGCACATTTGTATATTCACCATCACTCAAGACACGGTGATAGATTAGCCAGTCTTAGTATCTTCGTCTTTTATCAAAGAGGTGGCTACGTTTTAATTTTTATCACTTTGATCTGGCATAGATATTTCGTTTGTAACCATTATTCGTCTCAATGTATGTTTTGTTTAGTTTGAAATAGCACAATGTAGCATAAGTTTAGTAATTTACTAATTAAAACATTTAAGTACATTTTATTACGTAAATATAGATAGGGCAAACCTTAATATTTAAAGTGACTCGGGAATATCGTTGAAGGGTGATTAAAAAATTGAATAATTTTTGTATGAAATGTTACTTATTATCTTCCTCTTACTGTACTAACCCTCAACATGCAAAACAATTTTGTTTCTTTCTTCAAACCACAAACAAATTAATGGTTTTTTAAGAAGGCGTCACTGTACAACACCCTCGAACAGTGATTAAGAGTAAATTCTCCAAATCATTTTTGAATTTTTCCAACCGTTTTTCCATGAAAAGAAGACAAAAGACAGACTATAAAAAATCCTTCAACACCTAAATATCTGGAATGGTATGCAGAGCCAATTCATTGCTTTGTGACGATTTACATTCATCTAAAATGTAATTAAATTATAATAATACAGTTGGGAGAGCTAAAGTATCGATCAGATCAGTTTTCCCAATTTTTATTGTTAATAATAAGTCCGTTTTCACTCAAACTTTCAGATTAAATCGGAGGAGGCGCGATAGCTCAGTCGGTTGAGCAATGGTCTCGTAATCCGGTGACCCGGGTTCGAAACTAAGTCGATGCGCTAGTGCTCTTTGGTAAGGCATTAATCCTCAGTACCAGGTCCCTCGGAGAGGACCTAAAGTCGTCGGCCGTCTGGTTGCTTACTAACAAGCATTCATGCTTTCTTACCACATAACATTATCTGTAATTGTACATTTAGCATTGAAGTCACTACCTTAGCCCCATTTTCTCTCATCTTTACAATGTTATTAGTCCCTTTAAGGGCAACTTGAACAAAATAGCAGCTATAATCAATTATGGGGATTTGCTCAATGTGGCTGTAGTCAGTATTGTAACTAATGTTCTACATTTAATACATGAAATTGTGTAGAGTTTTTATTATTCAAATACAGAAATGTGTGAAAAGATTCATATTAATTGAAATTGCTTATTTCACTGAGTCAAAGCCATACGATTAGGGTTAGGGTTAAAGTTGCCATGGATTTTAGGTTAGGTTTAGGCTTCATGTTAGCTATAAGAGTGCTTGGTCAAGGGTTGAAGTTACGAACTTAGTTCGTGAAGGAAATTGAAAGCGGAGCAATAACGTCTTGTGTCATACAACCTTAAATTAACTGGGATCGTCAGTCAATGACCTCTTCATTGAGAGCTACGGTTCGGTAGAAAAAATAACAAATATCGAATTATATCATAAAACAAAATAATAAATGTTACACTTAATATTTTTCAACTTCAACTTCAACTTCAACCCTGGACGATTATACTTCACTATCGCGTAACCTAATACTTAGCCTTACCTAAAAGCCATTGTCGCAAACGTAATCCTATCACCATACCTTTAGCAAAGCCCGTCGAATATTTGGCTAAAATATAGTTAAAAAATAATATGATCATTGATAATGCTCTGTGGATTTACATGATAATAATTTTCAATAATGACGAAAATGTTGCAAACTTTATAACGCTAACCCCGTTGAATTAAAAAGGTTGGTTCCTCTTTGCCAAATGCCACTATTATTATAACGGTTGCAAAACAACCTTGAATTAATGATGAACTCATTCCGAACGCATTACACTGTCCTTTAAAAGGCAAAAGAGCATTAACCTTGTGATGGTGCTCTAGAATTTAATCACATTTCGAAGGTAATGAGTAATATAATTTGTACACCATTGGCGATGAAATTTAGAAAGCTGTGAACACAATGTTGAAGAGAAAGAGAGAGAGAGAGAGAGAGAGAGAGAGACCGCTTAGCATTCAAACACACACATAACACACACCCAAATATAACGTCATCGATTAATTTATCGACATATATTTAGTGATGTAAAGAAATAACACCTTTTAATTAAAAAAATCCCAGAATGTATGGATTATTAATAAAAGTTTTGTTGTGTATTGTATTTCCCTTTTCTACCCTCAAGAATCAGAATTTCCTCAGATACCCTATTTATAACAGGTGGGGCGACCGCTTTGGTTCCACGCAGTAACAGTCACACTCATTATATCATGATATAGCATGCACCATTCATGGAAGTGAAGGCGGTGATTGGATAATGATACCCAACAGCTAATATTGAACTGTTCAAGTTGACCTGATAGAAATTTTATTCATTCGGGGTGGCCGTTGATACAACGCGACTACGCTAGTAGTCCAGAAAGTCCATTAAAAATCATCGATTGTCTAGGCTCAATTTGCACAAGTCATATATGAAAAATTCAAGAGTTTGAAGCGAGGATAGCACGCGCAATAATTCGGTTTGTCGTAGAGCACAGACGAGTATCAAGTTGAGCATTGGAATGTGCCAAAAGATTATTAGCTAGCCTGATGATGATATCTACGTAGTTGATGCTGTAAAAAATAATTCAGCGAGGTAAGTTTTATTTCTTCTACAAATTTGAGACTTTTATATTTCCATAGTAATTGGAAATTTTAGTGATTTTTATTGAAACACACTTTTCACGTTAAAGCAGATGCCCGGTAGAAATAATAGAATTTAATTTAGGAAGTGTATAATTTGAATGTCATAAATGCAGCCACCATCATTATAGGCCCTCTTAATTATCACATCTCCATTTGACCAGTGTCATTGATTTAACAGGTGAGTGTATGTATGAAAGGAAAGAAAAATCTTAATATATTTGATCGACTTAATATACTAAAGGGAATGTAGATGAACAATCAACCACACCAAGAAATCAATGAAAATTAACACAATATGTAAGTAATAATGCGATCTCTATTGCCGGTCATCATTCGTGCTCAAATCACACTGACCAACACAATGACATAAAGTAAAACACGCTCTGTGTTTCGTTAATTGGTCAGAGAAGGCTTCCTGAAACAAAATTCACAACATTCTTTGTTGTAAATATTGCCCATTTTAGCCTTTTAAAAAAATTGAAATTACTCCTATCATGCAATCGTCTTTTTACCGTCGGTGGAATCTACCCACTCACGATCAATCATAGTCGACTTGTAAACACGTATTTTTAATTCAGAAATTACAATAATTTGAAAACTGGCCCATCGATACCATCAATATCATCGTTAGTGGATTCAGACGATGAATACTGCAGATCCAAGTTACTGTCTGTCCTAATTTTACTCATTTTATGGATAATAAATCTTTAAAATGTATGACAATATGGCTGCTAGACATGCAGTGTCTACTTTAAATTATGGAAATATTTTTATGGGGCAGGGCTTCTTCCGCGGCTTTGAACCTTCCATATTCTACAAAAGAAGGTAACTCGAATCCTCACACATGCTAATTTCCGTGCATATACAGCCTCTCCTTTTAAACGTTTAATTATTTTACGACTGCCTGACATTGTTAAATACCAAACAAAATGTACAAATACCCTCAGCAGGTTCTGCCGCTGATTCTGACGCTGAATGTGTCCATTCGCTCGAAAACAAGAAGAAAAAAATAGAACTGCAATCGTATTAGAACGAGATGCATGCATTGACGCCCGTGTTTCTACGGTGCAGCCGAAGGAGCTTCGTCTCTTTAACTATTTAGCGGACTTTATTAGAAGTCTGTAGTATCTTTAACATTTCAAATAGGTAGGCAGAAAGAAAGGCGGCAAATAAAGCGGCCCGAAACAGGCAAAATGGCGCATAGACGGTCATGCATTAGTGATTTCGGAAAACGGTAAAATAGTGACCGTGATAGGATGCTAGAGATAGGAGTAAACAGTAAACTGTGACTGAACACCAACAAAAAAGAACAACAACAACAACGATGCTAGACACTTTGCTTACGAAGTTTCAAGTAAATCGGGGTAAAGGAAGGGACCTGGATAGGGCTCACAAGCACAGCGTGCAAAACGAATAGGATTTGGGGGAATAAAGAACACGTCATGATGCGTGCTGTGGCCCAAATGGCAGGTGCACAGTTCCATACTATAACCATGCAGGGTATAAAATGGCGTCTAAAAAAATGCCCCCATTGAGAGATTTTCGAATTCCGGCTTCGAGATACCCTGCGTTTGACAACCCAGAATATGCTTGCAAAATTTCAAGGAAAAATACGGAAAGGGGGCGAAAAGCGTTCTGAAAAATGACGTCATAGCAAGTACGTGAAATAAATAGGCGGAAATCCAGAAATAGACCAGCGAAGACACTATTTTTTTTTTTTTTTTTTTTTTTTTTTTTTTTTTTGTTTACTTTGGACGGCATTTGGGGGTCATGCATGGCATCAATGCTAAAACTCTTGCGACAATACTTAAAAAAAAACCACAAAGGGTGGATGCTTCACGCATTTTTTTCTTAAAATTGGAAAGCATGTCCCCAATCAAGTTTTTTGCTTCATTTTTGACCGAATATGTATTAGCCTATATGAGAAAGACCTTTCAATTGATATAGCTTTCATTATGAAGTTTGAAGTTATAATCCTGTTTGATATACATTTGACATTTTGATATTACACACACATAATATATGGCGCAATGAAACATAAAAGTGCGACTTACTCAGAACATGGGGTTATTAAAGCTAATCATATTTCACAGTTTTTAAAACACCATAAAGCTGTCCACTAAAGCACTTTTCCTTGATTAAAGATAAAGTTGAGTTCTGGTCATGCAATTGTATTGTGAAAGAAACGTTGTGGAATCGTTCAGAAAAGGTCGATCATCTAGCATATAAGTATTGATGTGTACTGAAAGGTTCTGTAATCATCAAAATGATAAGAAATTTGGCCCAGTCTTGGTAAAGTTACAAGCACTGTACACAGAGAGATGCACGAACATGTGGCGTAAAAATCCGTCCCTATTTTTATGATGTTACATGCCATATTTAGAATATGAAGGCATTTGAAGAGCATGCTTGCTTTTCAGGGAACATATTTTATCTGATGTTCTTTCACACTCGCATAATACAATGATAATGTTAACAAATTATTTTTCACCTCTTCCCAGAGCTCAACTTTCTCTTTAAACGGATACTATATGTTATCATGTCACACAAAGAAAAGAAGTAATCAGATAATGTGATGGATATAATTTAATGCTATCCCAAATGAGTTGATGCCTTTTTACAGAATGCGCATTTTGAGTGGAAAACACATCGTACATGTACCGTATAAGGCAATTCTCACAGGTATTGGCAATATTAGTTCACGGGCCAATAATTGAAATCGGCTATTATTATCGAAATGGAGCAAGAACATTAGAATTGTCTGCGAACAGTGGAATCACTCGAGTGTAATCAGAGCCAATAATTGAAAAAGGTTACTGCCATGGTAACGGTGCGAGAAAATTAGATTTGTCGAGTGTAATCAAATTATAAACGAATTCATCATCAGTCCTGATATTTCAATTTGTTACTGCATGTAAGTAGTATTACTGATTAGCAAGGACAAACGATTCTCGCTAAATTCAGCAATCGATGCTTTGATAGCTTTTTAATGATATATTGTCTTTTTTCATGATTGTATTCTCTACTTATTTCTTCTTTATATTTCGCTTTATTTAAAAATATATGATCTAATGTTTTTTCTTTTCTCTTGATAATATTTCAGCAACTAAATGAGAGTTTGGGTAGACATCTTGGATGTAGAATAGCCATAAATCCTGGGCACGTACCGTATTGAAAAGATAATCAGGATAATAAGGATCAGAATGATACCACTACTACTATAGGCCTACTTTACACTACTGTCATTGGTGATTCCGATGATAATAATGATATGATAATGAAAATGATTGTAATAGTAATAATAATGATAATAATCACCATCATATTCAAGGAATATTGGTCCCGGTGAATGTTCAATTGTATTTCTGAATCAAATGAAGTTTGTCTTGTTTATATAAAGTGACTTGTTTGAATGGATCCAGTTTATAACAATGTTTAGTTCGTGGTTTATTGTAATCAGAGTGATTAGAGAATTTTTATTTGAATGGCAAATTTTCGAGTCATCAGCTAATAAAAGGAAGGAAAGATTATCAGAACAATTCTTGAAGTCTTTGATATAAAGTACAAACAACATAGGTCCACGTAAAGACCACTGCGGCACTCCCTACGTAACGCTTTTTATATGAGATTCATGACCATTGATACGAACATATTGTTGACGGCCAGTAAGGTAGTTCCTGAACCACTCTGAGGCCTTCCCATGCACGAATTTCATAATGAGATAAGTTATAGAGAAGAACCTCATGATCGATGGTGTCGAAGGCATTGGAGAAGTCCAGGAAGATACCGACTGTGTGGGGAAATTCATATATGGCTTTGGCTACTATGTTGATTGACATCAGTAATGCATGGATAGTTTAAGGTTTTTCTTCCGAAAATAAAATTGGGACCTAGACAAAATATTAAACTTATTTATGAAGTCGTCAGTACGAGAATAGACTATTTTTTAAAGAATTTTTTAGAGACATGTTAAGAGCGAGATGAGACGATGATTTCAAATACCATGCTTGTCGCCTCTCTTGAAAATTGGGATTATCTTAGCTATTTCATCTTATCGGGAACTGTTCCGTTCGTAAGAGATACATTTAATATTTAAGTTAAAGAGCTTGGTATTTCGGTGATTTTTTTTCCTTTCAATTTAGAATCGAAATACCGTCGTAGCCGGAACTTTTTTGTTTTTCATACTTTTAACAATATTAATAATTTAGTTGGTAGTAACTGGAGGAAAAAAAAATTGGTTCACCATGTGGTTCTATTCAAAACGATATCAGATTCTGCAATATCACGGGCAAGATTTGGACAAGATTTAGGCCGATATTATCAAAAAGTTAATTATATGTTTTTTAGCTATCAGTGTGGAATTTTGTATATCGGATTCATTAAAAGCTTTGTTAGTAATAGATGGTAATTTCGATTCATTGATTAGGACATTATTTATGACCTTCCACGTACTCTTCGCATCGCATTATTTTGTGAATTTGGAATTGTCCAGAACAGTAATTCTTCTTAACTGCTCGTAACAATGATGTAAGAGCGTTAGGATAGATAAAGTATTTATGTTTATTTCGTTCGGATTTTGTTTACGTATAAAGTATACATATCAATGCTAAGTGTCATTGACGTTGGTATAAAGATCACCATTTTATAGCAAGATGAAATTGTTTCATAATTTTTCTAAAAACTGCTAATTTGGAGGGCAGTTTTCTCATAGTCCGTCATTGATAGAGTAAACATATTTTTTTATTTGAGCAAATCTTTAAGTACCTAAATCCAAAAAAGGGTAAACTGGTTATTTATATCATGTATGACCATTGGAGCGTGAAATTTGGCTGAATTGTGTGCTATTATAAGCTAAATATACTGTGAGAAATTGAGGCAAACGGAATTGGTATGGGAAATTTAATGCAATTTATGGTTTCTAGGAGTCAAACAAAAATTTACCGATTTACCAAGCCAATTTCGGATTTGAATTTCGTGTATGAAGATGGCCTGGTTACATATTGCTAAACATTGTTAAAAAAGATATGCTTTATTTATAGTACGCTTTTCAATCATGGTTTGTGAAATAATGATGAAATGAAATGAAATGAAATTTAATCATCAGAATTGTCTCATATTTCAATGCTGGCATGCTTTCACCCACCCCGACAGACAGACTTACATACACACCCGTACACCTTTACATGTAGCCTACCCTTAACATACATGCATGCATACATCCGTACATATACCCTTATTTATATGATTAGGTACATATTATTTATTCATAGCTTTAATTGGTTTTCTTGCAGATGGGATTTGTTCTACATTGTATTTTAGCGCTTTTCAACCTACACGTTGTTCTCTATGCACACGGAAATGCATGCAGTGGTAAGTCCCTCTCCTCTACAGTGTGAGACAAAAAAAAGTTTACACCTAGAAAATTGCTAATTATTTTAAAAATCATCTATGAACAGTAAATTATTATATATCTCATGAAAGAGTGTTTTATCCCAAATCATTCGTTATCATTTTTGTGTGGTTTGTGTTCACGCTTGGATGAACAGGAGACATTGTTTACGAGAGTGCAAAAATCGACTTGCGCCAAAGTTGCTTGTGTGATGTTTGAATAAAACAATTGGGATTTGGGTATTAATTCGGTCTTTGCAGATCCAAATAACATCCCTTACAAAATTAATAATGCCACACATATCAAATATTGAATATCAAATATCAACGAACATTTGTGCACGTTTGTGTGACTTTGCTTCTGCAAGAAGCATATGCAATGCATTTCATTTGAAACATTCAATTAATTCTCTCACTCCGCTAATCCCATCATAATACAAGCTGTAGGCATCACTTTGGCGCAAGTCGATTTTTGCACTCTCGCAAACAATGCCTCCTGTTCATCCAAGCGTGAAGATATACTACACAAAAATGATACCAAATTGTTTGGGATAAAACACTCTTTCAGAAGATGTATAATAATTTACTGTTCATTGATGATTTTTAAAATAATTAGCAACTGTCTAGATGTAAACTTTTTTTTGACTCGCACGGTATATTGAGGTATATAGCGTCGGTCCAGAATCGACTGAGAGTCATTTTCGTCATTAGTGGGGGTGGAAAAAGCAGATGGATAGATTTCAACCAAAAAAGCCGTTAAACCTTCCTTTGAAGTTGAAAGGCAAAGGCCTTCTGCAAGTATTTAACTTGAAGAATTATACATGAAGATGTTTATGATATCTCTAATGCATATTAATGAACCTTAAAGGAAGCCTCACCCCAACGAATAAGTGTAGGTTTTCAGAAAAACGAGATGAATTTCTGCCTTTTGATGTACAATAAATCTTACGAAAGTTTACAAAAGACATACAAATGAAGATTTCTTGGCACGATGTAATGCCTTTTAGCAAGACATGGGCGTAGCCATTTTCTTGAAAATGTGACGTACCTGCATGGCGAAGTATGTGACGTACCAGACTGTACATGTATCAGGCGCCAAGCTTTAATTGGAAAGACTTTTGAATTCAATTTAAAAAAAAAAATCCCTTTTCAATGAGGGAAAATCATAGCTGAAAAGGTAAAAATTACAATTGGTGAAAAATATATAATAGGGTAACATGCAATAACTCATTTATTTAAAAATTCCAAAATATAGCGGTTGACAAATCTTTTTCATTCATGCGAAACCTTCACCCCAGAACAGCAACAACTTACTTATGTAATTTGCGTTCTGGCAAGTGGAGTACAAAGGATAAAGGCAGGTAAATGACTTGCTTCAACACCACAAGCACCTGGGAAGGAAGCATCCATAAATCGTCGGTTGCCCGGCAAAACTACCTTTTGCCGGGAAGTTAAATTGCGCGTTCAGGCTTTTTTGTTTCCAGCAACGTAGTGTAGCAAAAGAAAGATATATTTGCAAATTAATTTGAGAACATAATAAATCAGTTTAATATCTTTCTCTGAGAATAGTTTTGGCTACATGGAACATAGAAACATTGTCATTTTTAGCACTTGAAGTAGGTGTTAAAACTTAAAAAGCGTTACCGGGCAACCAACGAAATGTGCATACATTTAGGTGATAAACGACTTCGCATAGTACGTCATGTTATCAAGAAAATGGCGATGCCCAATAGTCGTGAAACTGTACTTTTTTCTTGCTTTATGCTTTTCTCATAGATTGATGGGCAAGAAAGCAATACATCTCTCAGAACTAATAAATTTATTCCTTGGAGTGAGGTTTCCTCTAATAAACCATTCTAGTTGCGGATATAGTATACAACCATACTACTAATAAAATGTCATAATTAGTAACATATTATTGCTTGGATAAAATTAATCTTTCATGGATGCTACTGCAAAGATAATAATTCTTCTTCGTGACATGATAGGTGAAATGAGCTTGATATAATCAACTTTCCAGGATAGTAGGCCCATAAAGTCGACCCTCTCTATCTCCATTTAATTCCCTTGTACCTATTTCATTGACTAAAATACATTTCTACTTTATTTTGACTTCGAAGGCCATTTACAAGCTTATAAAATGTAAATCCAACAATGTGTGGGTTAAACCCATATAAATTTGAGGATCGCGGTCTAAATTTTGAGGTAAATATGTGTTCAATTAGACTTAGACTAACTTAACACGATAGATTTTTGGGTGCATAGAATATAAATCTATTATAACCATAACCATGATAACCTTTCAATGACAATTTTTTCTTCTTCTCGTATGTAGAGACTTTTGTTGTTTGTGAGCGTGAAACGGATGACATAGACTGCGGTGATGGGGCCATCAACATTTGTACGGCTGTCTACGGGCGAACAAATCCCAGTACCTGCGTTGAGGCTAGCAAGACGGATTGTATTTTGGACGTTTCCAGTGAACCTGACCTAGCATCCTGCAATGGTCAGCAGCAGTGTACCGTTTATGCTTCCAATTCATTATTTGGAGACCCGTGTCCAGGAACTGTGAAATATCTAGAAATCACATATTCATGTCAAGGTAATATAATGGTCTTTCACATAATATTAACACGATTCGCAAAAACCTTTGTCATCATGCACAGTTTACTGTTCAAAACTCTCAGAATTTTGTTGGTGGTAGTGGTGGTGATGATGATGATAGTGCATGAATTTGGCATAGGGTATGGATATTGCGGGGGCACTGGGTCTTACTTGCTTCATGAAATGACAGTTAGAAAGGCTATTTTTTAGGGGGAGGCTGTGAGGGAGGTTTTATCATTTTTTTCTTCACGCTCCCTTCTTCCTTATTTCTCATTTCTCATTTCGTCCTTTCGGAATATTTTTTTTCTTCACCATTCGAGTAAAGGCTGTACAATCTGAAAAAAATATTTCCGCCTGGCTTTACTGTTCTTTGAGTTAATCGAGTTATCCAACCACGATGATTAGATGGCGCTGTTTATTTTCTCCAGGGCTCAAATATTGATTCGGTCATTTCAGTGTTTCATTTTTCTTCAATGTTGCCCCTCGAATGGTCGCCACTGGGGGTCGCCACTGAGTTTGACAGCTTCATTTCGTAGGTTATGACCGTTTAATCGTTAGTGTGGGCTCCACCATATGCTAAATATTACATTATACAAAGAAAGGTTCACAAAATAATAAGAAAATATTTCTTTGGTCTTTTTTTGTGAGAAAATAGACCCAGTTAAAAATTGTGATTTACAATTATGCTAAAAATAATGTCTCATTTTTTTAATTATCTCACATTACATTAAGGAGATACAACATCACAGGAGGAAACGACAACGGCAACAACATCACAGGAGGAAACGACAACGGCAACAACATCACAGGAGGAAACGACAACGGCAACAACATCACAGGAGGAAACGACAACACAGCCCTCAACACCACAGGAGGAAACGACAACACAGCCCTCAACACCACAACCACAACAAACGACAACGCAGCTCTCAACAACATTGCAACAACAAACGACAATACGTACCACGGAAAAAAAGCAAGTACCAACAACAACGCTATCTACGACGACGCCCCAAACAACGAGAGTGCAAACTCCGACAACATTGCCATCAGGACGTAAGTTTCCAACCAATAGGCCCTCTGTACTTAGCCCACTTCAAAAATTAGTTTCACAATCAACATGATATTCTTAAATGAATATTTCCTTTGAAAACATGTTAAATGGCCTTCTAGTCTGTAAACCTGACCTCAAAAGTTTACCCCATAACATTTTACATCTTTTATAGACCGTCGTAGTCATGATCAGCCTCTCCACGCGGAGGGTGGATTAATATGCCCTTTAAAAACGCGTTAAATTGCCTTTCAGTCTGTAAACCTGTCCTCAAAATGTTACCCCATAACATTTTACATCTTTTATAGACCATCGTAATCACGATCAGCCTTCCACACTGAGGGCGGCTAGCGCCCCACCCACCCCCCCCCCCCAGATCTCCCTAAAATGAAAGACCCAGAGTCTGGTCGAGTTCACTTCCTTATTATCGAGAGAGTATTTTAACTTTTGATGTCTCTTTATGTAAATACATTGAATTTTACATTGATTAATACATTGAAAGTTATATGTCAGATATAGTTTAGCGGCATGGAAAATATTTGTTTGCTAATTGGTCCGCTTTGAGAAGAGTCTGACACTCCTTCCCGATACAAAGTATTATGCAGAAAACTTATTATTAATATTAATACCAAATAATCCTTAGCACTACAATACTAAATACGAAGGAGTTTATTTGGTTTTCATGTATGATTTACTTTCTTTACTACAGCCATCAAACAATCTATAACATACCGACTGCTTGCCAACAATGCCGCCCTCAGCGCTTCGTACTCGTCCAACAGAGTGACGTCATTCATCATGTGCAGTCAAATGTGCTTGGGTGACGCCTCATGCAGGAGTTTCACATACATTGGAGAGACGGGGGTGTGCTTGCTGGGCCAAGGATTAACCGTTGAAGTACACCAGGGGGCTAAATCATATACAAGCTAGGTTAACTTTAGCTTAGTGGTTGGTCATGCGGTAGATACGTACATATAATTTTTATGCAGTTATGGGAACCTGCAAAATATAATAATTTTCGAATACAAAAGGGCTGAGGGCAGCACACTTGTATATTCATCATCACTGATTGACACACGGGACACAGTATTAGATTAGACAGTCTTAGTATCTTCGTCTTTCGTTAAAGAGGTGGCTTCGTTACAATTTCATCACTTTGATCTGGCATTTTGTTTTTAATCATATTTCCTCTCAATGTATGTTTTATTTAGTTTGAAATAGCACAAGGTAGCATTAGTTATTCAATTTACTAATTAACACATTTACGTTTACAAAGATAATCCACATGAAATAAAGAACTACAGGCCCGTATTGACCCTTCCTACTATAACCAACATTCGTGAAGATTTTTTTTTTAACAACAGGTTGTATACATTTTTGAATAACCATGAAATATTTAATTTAAATCAATATGGTTTCAGAAAATCGAATTCAACTGACCTAGCTTTGATTCAACAACATTACAAAATATTAAATGCAAGAGTCAATAAATAACATTCAATGGGGATTTGTATTGATTTGTCAAAAGCATTTGATACGCTATGTCACTTTATTTTGCTTTAAAAGCTTCAAGTTTATGGAATTCGAAGAGTTGCTTTCTCATAGTTTAGACATTACATATTATTCCGGCAGCAGTACGTGGTTCATAATGGATTTTCATCGGAATATCTTACGATTAAATGTGGAGTCCCACAAGGATCAATTTTAGCCCCCCTTCTTTTCTTATTGCATATTAATGATACTGTGTAGCCAATGCATCATTCCTTTTATCATTTATACTATGTGCTGACGTCACCAATTGTTTTGTTCTCATGAGAATCTGGATGCCCTTATTCACACACTCAATTTAGATATACCCAAAGTATCAAACTAGTTTAAAACTAATAAACCATCTCTTGATATTAATAAAACGAACTTCATACTCTTTAGACCTGCTAATGCCCATACCCCAGATTTTCCTTATTATACTGTAATTGATAATATAGCCTTAAAACATAATAAATGTACACAGATTTTAGGTACCCTTATGAGGAAAATCTGAGCAGGAATGAACACGTACGACATTATGATTACATGTATTTCTAGTGTGTGTGTGTGTGTGTGTGTGTTGGGTTTTTACGGACGTGTATCAATCAGATATGAATATTTACGTCTGGGGACCGACCTTTAAACGTCACCATCCGAAAGACGTGACTAACTTTAAATTAACCGTATTTCTTTAATGCGGAAAAGCGCTTCAGTTCGCGTATGTGCTGGCTCCCATTATTTAGCCTATACCCATTATTTATTTAATTCAAAATATTGACAATTTTTCATATAAAAGCATGACAGAATTTGATCTTTATGTTTAAATATATAAATAACCTTCTTCCTGATTCATTTAAGATTTGTTGGGGTATTAAATAACACTATTCATCCTTATCCTACTCGGAATTCAATATACTTTCATTTAATAAATCCTAAATTATTGATCCTGCATAAAGACATCATGGTCCAAATTAATGGAATGCACTTCCAAACTCAATCAGATCATGAAAACCCTAAATTCATGTTGGCTACAGCGGACTTTCTAAAGCTGGTTTTCTTAAAGTCGACCAAAGATCAAAATAACTCGTATTGCATCACGTGCATAAAATATATCATACTAGGTCGAATCATTATATTCGATCCAACTTCGATCTTGTTACTGACGTACATGATTATAATACAAGAAATAGCCGATTCAACTTTAACTTACCAGAAAGAGTAGGTAGTATTGGAAATTCGTTTTATTACAATGCCATAAAATATGGAAATCCCTTCCCAATCGTGTAAAAGAAATAGGAAACTATGATCAAATATTCCTTTAGTTTCCTCTTAATAAGAGGAAACTAAAGGAATACCTAATACTTGACAGTCAGAGAAGAGAAGTGAATGACATGTTATATGATTGAAATTTTTATTCTTCTGTCGGTTCATACTTTTTCATGTTGTATATACTTATGTTTTCGTATACGTTATAGAAATTCTACAAATTCATCATTATTTTCCTCTTCTTCCTCCTCCTCTTTTTCTTCTTCTCCTTCTTCTTTTTCTTCTTGTACTTAATATCATTTCTATCATCAGTTTAATGTTGTTATTATCATTATTATCTTTAATAAGTAGTTCTTTTAATTTTCTTATCTGTCTGTAAATATTACTATTTTAACTTATTAATTTTATACATGTCTGTAAGGGATCCCATTGGAAATAAGCTCTCGAGCTTTCGTGGGTTATCCTGTTCAAGCTGACTTATTTTTGATCTGTTATTATTGTATATTGTTGTATGTTGGAAGCTTGTCGAATAAAAATCAATCAATCAATCAATCCCCTTCCCTTTCCATCGGGCTATCACGCTATCAAGCAATATTGCTTATGGTAAAAGCTCTTCTTCTGCAACTTTCTTAATGAATATTTCTTGGTATTATGTTATCAGTTAAATTCTGTTTTAATGTCATCATTTATTTTTAATATAGTTATTACATACACATTAACACAAAACTTGTTTTATTTTGAATATGTCATATCGCTGAAATATAATTTGATTTGTATGTTGCAGAAGAAAATAAATGTAATTCAATTCTATTCAAAGTTCTTCCCTCTATTACGTGAATATAATTATGAAGGGCAAACTTTTGTGTGTAATTTATTTTAAAAGGCAAACTTTGACATATATCAGCTCTATTTAATTGTGGAGATATGGTCTATGTGGCTGCGGTCTATTGCAGCTTTGTTCTACATTAAATCGTACAAATACATGAAATCGTGTATGGTTTTCATTAACAAAATACAGAAATGTGTGAGAAGATTCATATTAGTTGAAATTACTTATTTTAATGAGCCGTCAGACAACTACCCCCGAACAACTACCCCCGGACAAATACCCCCAGACAACTACCCACGGACAACTATCCCCAGGACAAATACCCCCAGACAACTACCCCCTAGGATAGTTGTCCGGGGGTAGTTGTCGTAGGGGGTAGTTGTCTGGGGTAGTTGTCCCGGGGGTAGTTGTCCCGGGGGTAGTCGTCCTAGAGGGTTGTTGCCCTAGGGAGTATTTGTCCTAGGAGGTAGTTGTCCTAGAGGGTGGTTATCCTAGGGGTGGTTATCCGGGGGTGGATGTCCAGGGGGTAGGTGTCCGGGTACGAGTTGCCAGCTCTATAGCGCTAATCCTGTTGAATTAGAAAGGTTGGTTCCTCTTTGCCAAATGCCACTGTAATTAAAGAGGTTGCCATGATGGTGATGGTGCTCTATAGAATTAAGTCACATTTCAAAGGTAATGAGTAATTCAATTTACACAACATTAGCGATGAAAGCTAGAAAGCTGTGAACACAATGTTGAAGAGAGAGAGAGAGAGACGTGAGAGAGAGAGAGATAGAGAAACGTGAGAGGAGAAAAGAGAAAAGGAGAAAAGAGGGAAAAGAGAGAGGAAGAAAGTGTGTAAGAGAGAGAGAGAGAGAGAGAGAGAGAGAGAGAGACTGAGAGAGAGAGAGAGAGAGAGAGAGAGAGAGAGAGAGAGGGAGAGATCAGCATTCAAACACAACCATAACTCCTTTTTTTTTAAATAGTTTTTTTTTATTGATTCCAAACAATACAAATGAATTTGAGAAATAAAGTACAGTTGTTTTTCCTTGACATGAATTCAAAACATTTACATTACATAAATTGTACAATTGATTAAAACAAAAATGAAATCAGTCGTAACATAAAACAAAATAACCCCATCCAACCAAACACACTACTACCCCCCCACCCCCCCCCGTCCCCACCATGCGACACACACACCACCCGAGCACACTTCCACCACACACTGTTCCTAGCCTCCTCAGAATACACACAAATTGGATCGACAGACAAACAAAAACAATCTATTTAAAACAATTTAAAACAAAACCATGTAAACGAGGCTACAATAGCCACAACAGTCCAGTGTTAAAAGTTCATGAAAACTTTACTTGTTCCCACTTCTGTAAATGTAAGGCCAATTTACCTGCCCTCCCTGCAATATTCTTTTCTTCTTCCCTAATTTCTAACAGTTCTTTTTTAAAACTCCCCCAAAGACAATATTACGGACTTCCCCTGCATCTATATATCCAATATTTCAATGCAAAAATAATTGTATTAAAAATCTTTATTCGTGGGGAGTTACCGGCCAACCCTAAATGAATAGCTTTCCAGTCGATAGACCTTAATTCCCTTAGCTCAAACTTAGCTATTACATTTTGCCATAATCTTTGAACATGTACACACTCCACGAACAAGTGTAAATATGTTTCTATCTTTTGCTTACAAAATGAGCACAAGTTATCTACAACAAAGCCGAATCTGAATAAATGTTCTCTAGTATATATTGCTCCATGAAGCAGTTTCTACTGAATTTCCCTTAGTCTGTTAACAAGAGTAACTTTCCTAGGCCTATAAATATCTCCCTACATACCTTATTTGAAAAACTGAAAATAACACAACGCACATACCCCCCCCCCCTCCTCCCCACGTACACACAACACACACGCACACACAGTGTCCTATGGGCAACTTCTCGTCTAGCTATTACCCCTCTCGAATTTAAAGTGACTTGGTAACATTGTTTAGATGAGAGAAAATTCTGCAAATTAGGTATAGTGACTTCAATGCTAAATATACAATTCAAAATAATCTAAATGTTTTAGTGAAAACAGACCATTATTAATGATAAAAATGGGGAAAATTGATGTAATCGACTCAACACTTCACTCAACGTTATTATTATAATCAAATTAAATTTTGTGTCAATGTATATTGTCACAAAGCAATGAATTGGCTCTATATAATACACACATTCAAATGTTAACAGATTTTAAAAAGCTTGTTTTATGTCTTACTTTCATGGACAAACGGGTGGGATAATTCAATAATTGGTTGGGAGAATTTACTGTTCGAGGGAGTTACACATAACTCCATAAATATCTTTGTGGTTTGAGAATTTGTCAGGATTCTTTTGCATGTTAGAGGGTAAGTGCAGTAGAAGGAATATAATAAGTAATATTTTGTACTAAAATTAACCAGTTTTTTTTTAAATCAACCTTCAACAATGTTACCGGTTCACTTTAAATGTGCATTGAGCAGCAACCCTTCATCGTGATGCAGTCTATATAACTATGAAGCAAGAAGGGTTTGTTTGCACGCACTAACCTTATTGTGTGCAACATTGTCTACACTATTTGGCACAGCCAGGAACTGACAGAGACGGTCTCTGTTCAAGGCTTTAGGAAGTGCAGTAAGGTGTCGAAATTTGAGTCTGTGTCTACAGACTATTGTTGGGAGATGAGGTTGTGGCCTTGTGCGGCTGCTGAGTGGTTGTATGTGTAAATTGCTATCTGTACACTCATCAAATTGGCAGTTCCACACATTGGTGCACTTTGAATGGGCTACCTTCATTCCAGCACGACCTGGTGAAAACTAGCTTCACCCGTCTATTATCATCATCATCATCATCAATCTCACCATATGGTCACATTGTCGACAACTGCATCACCATAACATCGTCATCATTGTCACATAATAATATTATCACCATGAACATCATCTTCAATATCATTGTCATCATCTGTAAACCTTTTATTATCATCATCATCTCTTGTTGGATGGCAAGATTCATTTGTATAGTAATGAGAAAGATGAGCAAAACTTGTTAACTTTTTCATGAAGCGTTTTCATGTTTTTACAACGCACTCTAGCCGTATTTTTAAAATATTTATTGCGGTATAAAAACATTATACATGGCAGCCTAGCGACTGAATTGAGTGCAATTTACATAGGCCTAAGTAATAATAAAAGGATACTGCACAACATTTCAAAATCATTAAAAAAAATAGTACATTCATGACAAAACAGTAGGTACACCTTATTAGATCAAAGAATATTGATAGTGGGATAACGAAAATGGGTAATGGATGTGAATAATAAAGATTTTATGACATAGGCCTAAGCAAATTCATAGGAAGAATATATTGTTGAATAAGTTTCCTTCATGTTCTTGTAATAACGTCCATGTATTTATGTTCATAGCTGCAATGTTGTCAACCGACCTCAATATAGGAATAA